CTTTTATGATTTCCTTGATTTGCTCTATTGTAAATCCTATGAAATCCTGGACAATATCTGGACAGTTTTTTTCTAGCATGGATTTATTATTTCATGGCTTTTTTTTTTTTCTTAGAGATGGGATCTTGCCATGTTGCCAGGGCTGGAATGCAATGGCTATTCACAGGCAGGGTCATAGCACACAGTACAGCCTACAACTCTTGGGCTCAAGTGATCCTCCTGCCTCAGCCTCCAGAGTAACTGGGGCTACAGGTGCATGTGCCACCACTCCTGGCTTAATGGCTTTTTCTATAATAATGATGGCATTTTCAATGGTGTAACCCTTCTAGACGTTCATGATGTTCTATCAGGGTTCTCTTCGGTAGTATTGACAGTCCTTTCCATAGAGTAGGGCATGCAGTGAAGTTCTTTTTTTTTTTTTTTTTTGAGACGGAGTCTTGCTCTGTCACCCAGCCTGGAGTGCAGTGGCTCACTGCAAGCTCCGCCACCTGGGTTCACCCCATTCTTCTGCCTCAGCCTCCCGAGTAGCTGGGACTATAAGTGCCCGCCACCACGCCCGGCTAATTTTTTTTTTGTATTTTTAGTAGGGATGGGGTTTCACCATGTTAGCCAGGATGTTCTCAATTTCCTGACCTCGTGATCCACCCGCCTTGGCTTCCCAAAGTGTTGGGATTACAGGCGTGAGCCACCGCGCCCGGCTGGCATGCAGTAAAGTTCTTAAAGATCTTTGTGACCCCCTGATCTAGAGGTTGAATTAGAGACGTTGTTTTGGGGTAAGTAGACCACTTGACCCCTTTGGTCTTGAACTCATGGGGTTCTGGGTGGTCTGGGACATTGTCCAACATCAAAAGACAGTCCCTTAGTGGCAAGGTACATCCTGACTTCAGGAACAAAGCATTGATGGAACCAATACAGAAAAAGGGTTCTTGAATAGGCCTTCTTGCTGTACAGTCAAAAGACTGGCAGCTGATATCTATCTTTTCTCCTCAAGGCTTGAGGGTTAGCAGCTTTACAGATAAAGTCAGTCCTGATCATAAACCCAACTGCGTTTGCACAAAATAGTTGAGTTTCCCTTTCCCTTCCTGCCTTAAATCCTGGTGCTTGCTTCTGTTCCTTACTAATAAATATCCTTTGTGGCACTTTTTTTTCCCTAGAATACAGCACTTTTGTCTGCATTAAAAACCTGCTCAGACAGATATTCTTTCTCTTTAGTGATTTTCTCAATGGCACCTGGAAACTTGTCTGCTGCTTTTTGGTTGGGAGAAGCTGCTTCTCCTGTTCTCTTGACATTTTAAAAGCCAAACCTTTTTCTAAAATTCAAACCATCCTTTGCTGGCATTCAATTCTTCAGCTTTATAGGTTCATCATCTTCTTTTGCTTTAAGTTGTCATATAGTGACTTTGCTTTTTCTGGAATCATATTAGAATCTATAGGAATGTCTTTCTTTTTCTCTCTTTTTTTTTTTGAGACTGAGTCTTGCTCTGTCTCCCAGGCTGGGGTGCAGTGGTGCCATCTCGGCTCACTGCAACCTCCGCCTCCTGGGTTCAAGCAATTCTTCTGCCTCAGACTCCCCAGTAGCTAGGATTACAGGCGCCCGCCACCACGCCTGGCTAATTTTGTGTTTTTAGTAGAGACGTTGGCCAGGCTGGTCTGGAACTCCTGACATCAAGTGATCTGCCCGCTTCGGCCTTCCAAAGTGCTGGCATTACAGGAGTGAGCCACCACGCCCAGCCAGGAATGTCTTCTTTACATCAATCTTGCACCCACATGAAGGCTGCATTTTCAATACAAGATAAAAAGGCATTTCACAAGAAGTGCAAAGTCTTTGCACCTGATGGTGTATCCGCAGTGATGCAATGATGGCCTTACAAATTTCCGTCTCCTCTCCTCTCCTCTTCTCCCTCTTCCTTTCCCCCTCCCCCTCCCCCTCTCTCTTCCTCTCTCCCTTTCCCTCCCCCTTTCCTCTCCCTCTCCTCTCCCTCTTTTTTCTTTTCTTTCTTTTTTTTTTTCAGTGGTCCTTATTCTGGATTCATTTATTTTGAAATGGTGGACAACTGCAACTGTAGCTTATGCCAGATCTTAATCTCTGGCACATATCAAGCAATTCAACTTTTTCTTTTGTAATATCATGTGTTTTCTCTGTTTCTTGGGAGCACTTCCAGCATCACTAGTGATACTTCGTATGGGTCCCATGGTGTTATTTAAGGTTTACAGTGTTGCACTAGACATCATAAAAATATGTGAGAACTGTGAGAGATCACTTTTTATGACAAGATGCAGTTTACTAGAGACAAACCGCTTCTGCAGAGATGACTAGTGTCACAAGGCATTTTAAGCAGATACTTGTAACTTAAAGCTTACAACAACAGCAACAGGAGGTGGCTGTGAAATTATTATGTATTGTAGTGTGTAATACAGTCAGTTTTATGCAGTTATGATTTAATATTGCATCCTTATGTCTTTTTTTTTACATTTCTCTTTACTGTGAATGGTGCTATTTATGGTCTGTAAGTGTTTGTGTGGGTAAGTTTTGATAAATTTTAACTTTTTATAACTTATGTATACTTTATTGTAGTAAATGATAAACTAGGCTAGTATCTACATATATTTTATGCATTCATGAAATACCTAACTTAGCTTAATTTTTTGATATTTCTAATTCATCTGTGAGTTTTTTCAAACTGTCACAAATCTCCAAATATTTTTCCAATATTTTTACTGAAAAAAATCCACATATAAGTAGACCCATGCAGTTCAAACTTCCATTGTTCAAGGGTCAGCTATAGTTCTTTCTTATGCTTGGTTATAATTATTTCAAACTATATATTTACCTTTTTCTCTATTCTCAGAGTTGGGTATCGGAAATTAAAAAAGAAGAAGATAAAATGCACTTTCATGAAACCGAGACATTTCCAGCAATGAAAGATAATTTGCCTCCAGTTCGTGGTTCAAACAGCTGTCTTCATGTTGGCAAGGTAGGCCTTTTTGATATCTTTGTGGGTGGTAGTGGGAGAGGATTGTTGCTGTTTATTAAGGGGCAATCTCAGTTGAATCGGAGCAGCCTATGTGTGATGTCCTCTAGGAGAGTTGGGGAGTTTGTTCAGCTGGCTGGGAACTATCACCTTCTTCACTAGGCTGTATCTCATTACTTGGAGATCAAAATGAAACAGTTTTTTCCTTTGAAGTCTTGCATCTTGGGCTTATTTACTGCCTTTAGTCTTTTTTTTTTTTATACGCCCTGTCTCTTCTGTCCAATTTTGATGAGAGCAAAAGGTCTGATTCAGTGTGTGAAAATTTCAGGGAACAATTATATATATATATCTAGTAGGGCTACAGAGGATATATCATATTACATAATTTAATTATGGATTTAAAACAGTAAACAGATACTTTCAGTACTTATAAATGTCATTCCTCTATTTAGTGCATGTGTTCTTCCCCTTATTCCCATTTCTCTGTGTGGTCCCTATTTTGTCACATAGACCTCTCCTTTTTAATCCGTGGGCTCCATACAGAACGGGCCTGTTGAAGTTCCAGGCCCATTCTATTTAACTTTAGATTGAAACTGGGTTTCCTGGCATCCATCTGACCTTGTAATTTCTCAGATGACTCCTCAAGTCTTTTCGTTTCTAGGTTAACTCATTCTTGTGATTCTCATCTTTTCTTTGAATCAATTTTATTTTAAAAATATCCATGGCTCTTCATCACTCTGCTCTCTGATAATTTACCTTCCTGGATCTTTTTACTCCTCATTAGGAATTACGTACGTAACTGAGGTGTACAGTAATCTGGTGAGGATGCCACTGTCTGCAATCCATGAAATTGTATTTATTGAATAGTCGGTCGGGCACGGTGGCTCACGCCTGTAATCCCAGCACTTTGGGAGGCTGAGATGGATGGATTACTTGAGGCCAGGAGTTTAAGACCAGCCTGGCCAACATGGTGAAACCCCATCTCTACTAAAAATGCAAAAACATTAGCCAAGCGTGGTGGCATGTGCCTGTAATCCCAGCTTCCTGGGAGGCTGAGGCACGAGAATTGTTTGAACCCAGGAGATGGAGGTTGCAGCGAGCTGAGATCATCTCCTCTGTCTCAAAAAAAAAAAAAAAAAAAAAAAAAAGAATAGTCCTTGTGCACTAAGACTGTGCCCTGAAAATATAACAATGAATAAGCATTGCTGAAGGAGGAATGGGGTGGACGGACTAGTGGTACAGTAGTTCTCAAAGTATGGTCTAGGAAGCCCTTAAAGTCCCAGAGATTCTTCCAGGGGATCCAGAAAGTCAGTGCTATTTTGAAAATAATACTAGTGCTTTGTCCTTGTCACTGTGTTGGCATTCGCCCTGAGGATAAAGCTGCTGTTGCTTTAACATGAAGCAAGGCAGGCACCACACTGTACATACAGTAAAAACAAATTCCAATATTACTTAAAAATACCTTTAATAAAATAATAGAATATTTACTTTGTTAGATCTTGAACTTCTAGGACATGTCCTTTTAGTATTTTGTGTGACAAAGTGAGAAGTATGCAGAAAGCACTTCCCTGCATAGTGAAATATGATGGTTATGATATGATGCATAGCCACGTTTTCCTGGAACACTGTTTCTACTTGAAATAATGGTTGACAAACTGTCATTATTCAGAATTGGGATTTCAGCAACAATTTTGTTGAAAGTGAATGAAGGAGGCCTGTCACTTTAAGGAAAACAATTCACAGTATTTGTTGCTAGTAAGCAAATCTGAGCTTTCAAGTGCAAATTAGGTCCAGGCAAGTGGGGCAGTGGCTCAGGCCTGTAATCCCAGCACTTTGGGAGGCCAAGGCGGGTGGATCACTTGAGCCCAGGAGTTCGAGGCCTGGGTAACAGAGTGAGACCCCATCTCTACAAAACTTTTTTTTTTTCATTAGTGTGGTGTGGTGGCACATGCCTGTAGTTGTAGTTCTAGCTACTCAGGAGACTGAGGTAAGAGGATTGCTTGAGCCCTGGAGGTCAAGGCTGCAGTGAGCCATGATGACACAACTGTACTCCAGTCTGGGCAACAGAGCAAGACCCTGTCTCTAAAAACAAAGTGCAAATTAGGACTTTAGGTATTAAATATTTAGTATAATATAATAATATCTAATAATTTAGATATTATGTGTTTCTCAAATTTCTGCTTGTGACAGAAAATAGCCCTTAAGGGGGATACTTGTCAAAGGACAACATTATAACAAATTTCAAGATTTAATTGGCTTATATTAACAATTTGTGAATCAGGATGACATCTCCTCTAAAAATTTAGAAAATGTGCTCCAATGGCCATGGCAGAACAGCTGGTTTTTATAAGGTAGCTTGAGCAGGGACAAGGAATACAAAAAGTAGACTATTTAACAACAGGTTATTTTCCTTATAAGGGTTAAAGCAGAAATTTGGTTATTATCTATGTCTTTTGATTTCTCTAGTCAGATAAGCAAGTTAATTTTGGGTTGGTGATATGGAACTTTAGCACCAGTGACTACATTTTAGTCTGTTGGGGCCTAGTGCAGGAGCTTAGTCCAAATCACTGACCTCCTATAAATTTTATTTAACATACCTGAAAGTCTTTTTTGATGAGCTCCATGCGGATATTAACAAATTGTGATTTATAAAATTGTATAATGAAATCTGTGAATATTTGGAAAATCTGTATAACTCCAATGACCGATAGTTTTGAGGAGTGTGAGCGTGTCATGATACTGAAAAATTTGAGCCGCCCCATGGATTATGACAGTAAATATGCAGTGTTATAAGAATACATAGAAGGCACATGTCCCAATCTTTCAGTCAGAGAGCATTGCCTTCTTAAAATATCCAAATATAATATTACACATTAGATTTTATCCCATATACTAAGTCCATGTCTTGAGACTTTTATTGCTCCCCATTCATTTTTTTATTTATTGAAAATTTTTTTCTTCTTTATTCAGTTATAATTGATAACACTTGCATATATTTATGGTGTGATAAAACAATGTGATGTTTTGATATATCTACACAGTTTGAAATGTCAAGCCAATTCATGTCCATTTCTTGATCCCTAAAGGGGGATATTTTTTGTCACAGGTAGGTATTTGAGAGCCACGTATGAATATTAAATACCCCTGATTTCGCATCAATGCCTTTTGAAACTAAGTGATACAACTCGTATTAGTTTCCTAGGGCTGCTGTAACACCACAGGAAGTGGTTGGCATAAAACAACAGAAATGTTTTCTTCCACAGTTCTAGGGGTTAGAAGTACAAAATCAAGGTATTGGCAGGGCCTCCAAAACCTGTAAGGGAAGATCCTTCTTTGGCTCTTCCAGCTTTTGGAAGCCCTGGCCTTCCTTGCCTTGTAGCGGTACAACTCTAAGCTCTGTTTTCATTTTCACACCGCCAGCTTCCTTCTCTTGGAACTTCGTCTCCTCTTTTTATAGGGACACAGTCATACTGGATTAGGGCCCACCCTAATGACTTCATCTTCACTTGATTATATTGCAAAGACTCTATTTCCAAATAAGGTCTCATTCACAGGTACCAGGGTTAGGACTTCATCATATTGTTTTGGGAGACACAATTCAACCCATAACATCATCTTAGCATTGAGAACATTGTCTTGATGAGCAGGAAATCAAGTGCAAGCATCAAATGAGACTTTTTGAGCCTGTAAGGACTGCATAGTACTCATTTATGTGGTTTATATAGTTCCTAGTATTGCTATTAACAAACCTGAGCCTAATGAGAATGAAGATATGTAACAGTTTAAAAACAAATCAGCACCTACTTTATTATTATAAATTCTACTATACTTCCCTTTCTTCAGACTATATAGATAAATATTTTAAAGTTAATAATTCCTTAGTACTTACCTAGCAAAAAATTGTACCCTGTCTCGGAGACTGATTATTGGTGAGCATTATGGCTATTGTTTGCCTTTCTCTCATTCTGTTCCGGTGCAGAACCTGCCCTCTGTCTTCAGCAGTGGGAATGTGGCTACTTTGGGCCACTGTTAGTGCTTGGTCAAGATGGGCCCATGACCCGAGCTAGCCAATCAGTTCTTCCTTGGAATTTCTCTAACTGAAGACAGAGAGAAGAGTCACTCTCCTTTTCCTCTGGTGGAGAGAGCTGTGAGGTTATAATTCCAGAATGCTTGTGGCGATGTTTCCTGCCACATAAAGAAAGCAAGTACCCATCAGGGAAAGTGAAATCAGTAGGTAGAGAGGAGCAGAGACTGGGAGGGACATGGAGAGCTGGAGAAAGGGCATAGGAATCCCCTCATCCAGCAATACCCTGCCCTTCCATCAGTTTAGTTATATAAGCTGATAATTTCTTCTTTCTTAATGTAATTATTCCAAATCAGATTACTGTCATTGCAAACTTCTGACTAACATAGCAGTTATTCTTGTTTCTCCAATGCCTAGGTTTGAAAAGAATGAATCAGAATTTAGTACTTTTTTATTATAAGAAAATCAGTAATAATCATATTCACACATAAGTTTCAAAATTATACATATATATACTTAAAAACCTATAGATTGTCCCCAGAATAACTACAAATTTAAAATTCTTAATAACTTTAATGCTGAAGTTATAGTAACTTCCAGGGTACCTATTTTTCTTATCCATTCCATTTGTATATCTTTATTTTATTTTTTTGAGAAAGTCTCGCTTTGTCACCCAGGCTGGAGTATAGTGGCTCAATCTCTGCTCACTGCAACCTCCACCTCCCAGGTTCAAGCAATTCTCATGCCTCAACCTCCAAGTACCTGGGATTGCAGGCATGCGCCACCATGCCCAGCTAATTTTTGTATTTTTAGTAGAGACAGCATTTCTCCATGTTGGCCAGACTGGTCTGGAACTTCTGGCCTCAAGTGATCTGTCCACCTCAACCTCCCAAAGTGCTGGGATTACAGGCGTGAGCCCCTGCATCTGGCCTCCATTTGTATATCTTAACCCAATAATTTACATTGCATTTACAGTAAAACCTGATAATCTTATATTAAATATACCTCATAAAATATGATTTTATTCTTTTAGGAAAAATGTTCTAAAAGACCAACTAAAAAGAAAACTCCAAGGGATTATGCAGAATGGGATAAGTATGTTTTACATGTCTTTATATAAAATGTATCACTAAAAAAGTTATCTACCACAAAATACTGCAGTAATTTCTTAAATAATTATTATAAACCTGAACATGTCAAGAATACCAAATTACTTTAATAGAGTACTGAGAATATCTGGCCTCAGCCCTTTTGATGTTTTTTCAGTACATAAAAAACTACTATATCCTTTTTTTTAATATAAAACCAACCAAAAAAAAACTAATGTAATTTTTATACCCATCCAAACTATAAAAGAACAAAAATGTAAAATTGAGATAAGTTAGTCACATTTTAATTTCAAAGTTCTGACCAGTTTAGATTTGATTAACGTTTAAGCTCTCACTAAATTGTGTGTTTTCTTAAGAAGGAACTCAGATGACTTGAACTATAAAGTTACTGCATATCTTTGAATATGGATCCAAAGGCATACTTGTACAAATATAAGAATATCAATAATACATTTGTTTTCTTGCCTGTATTGTATTTCGTTTGGTTTTTATTGTTCTTTCATTTAAGATTTGACGTGGAAAAGGAATGTTTGAAAATTGATGAAGATTACAAAGAAAAGACGGTAATAGACAAGTCACACTTTTCTAAAATTGAGACAAGAATAGATACAGCAGGTAATTGGAGAAAAAATAATAATTTAGTAGTCTTTAAAGTTTTTGAATTATAATAAAAACTGTCAATCTAGAAGACATTGTCTTTGAGTACTGCACAGATTACCATGAAAAGCTTATGGATTTTCTCCGACAGTTGACCATTCAACAAATTTGCTTCTCTCTTTTACCCACTTAATTTTTAAATGTAGTAAGACTTTAAAATATAAACTTATTTTTCTTACTGTAATTCGTTTGTAATTCCTTTTTTTCCAATCCTCTTTTCCCTCCAAATTCCTCAAATTGTTTTCTATTTGCTTCAAAACAAAAAGATGGGGCAGTTTATTTGTTTTTGTTTGTAGTCAACAGATGAATGGCACCTATAAAGTAAAACAAAATCAATCATTAAAAAAATTCTGAATCCTCAAAACTTGTGAATGATTTAAAAAGAAAACATCACTAAGCTTAAGGAATCTTTTATTTTCTTTTGTTTATTTTATGATCTTTCTGCTCTCTTCTGCTTCTGTTAAAATAAGCATTCTTAGATTTAAACTTTAAAAATTCTGTTAAATTATATGTTTACATATAGCAGATAACATTTATTTCTAGGTCTAACTGAGAAAGAAAAGGATTTTCTTGCCATTCGTGAAAAGGAGAAAGGAAATGAAGCTTTCAACTCAGGAGATTATGAAGAAGCAGTGATGTATTATACCAGGTGAGCAGACGTTTGTTGTGGTTTAAACTTGCCTTTTAAAAAATGATAATGTCTTAATTGTTGAAACATAAATAAGCGAAAGTCTATGTCAGAATCTCTCAATGTATTGTACTTGTGATTTATCATATATTCACTTATGTTTCTCCTATTTTTTCAATACTTTTCTCAAACCTTTAAGCTCCCACTCCACTCCTACTTTTGACAGAGGACGTAACTTCCTATCTTGCAGAGAAAATAGAAGCCATCTGACAGGAATTCAACAGAAGGCCCATATGATATAGAAGTGAATAACTTAGGTTCTACTGTAGACTGCCTGGATTTAATTCCAGTATTTGTGGTGCTCCTTCCTACCACAGGGCCTTTGCACATGCTGGGTCCTCCATCAAAAATGCTTTTCCCATGGCTGATCTGAGTACAGTGGTGTTTACAACTAATTGATCACAACCAGATACAGATTTCCTTGTCCCTTCTCCACTCCCACCATTTCACTTAACTAGCCTTTGAAAGAGAAAAGAAAATTAAGAAGAAAAAAATGCTCTTCCCTCCTCCCATTATCTAGTTAATTCTGATTTATCCTTCAGATCTTAGTCTTCACCTTACTTCTTTGGAGAAGTCTTACTTGACCTTCCAAACTAGGTTAAATCTCCATCCCACCCCACCCACTTCACCTCCCAATTTATAGGCTCTTATAGCAGTCTTACCTCTCCTTTGTAGCACTTGTCAGAAGTATAATTTAAGCTTGTGTGATTTGATAATAACTAGAATGTAAGATTTGTAAGAGCAGAACCCAATTGTCAAGGATTTTTACATCATCGTATCCCCAAGGCCCAACAAAGTACCTGGTTCATAGTAGCTGTTCAATAAGTATGTATATGAACTTCTGAAGTTCTTAACAGCCTATGAAAAGTAGACTAAGTTTTTAAAATGTTGTTACAGATAAACTGTTCTTATAGAATCACCAATGCCACCTTAGCCCTAAACTCTGTACAATCTTTTTTCCACCTTTGGAAATAAGATAGATTTTTTTCAATGTTGTTGATGTCTCTAAAGAAGTTTTCTCAGACTGTTTAAATGAAGACATGAGGTAAAGAGGATATATGATGGATCATTCATTCAGTACAGCCTCCCCTGTTCAGGCTGGTGGATGTCAGTCTTGATAACTGTTCTTTCTTTTCTTGTAGATTTATACCACAGAGTCTCTTGTCTATTACAGGTTGCAAAACTCTTTTCTTCTTTTATGAGGAATCATGTAGTTGAAGAATTAAAGCAGCATAGTATAATGGTTAATGGTTAAGGGAATTCAGACTACCACTTTCTGACCTTGGGCAGATTCTTTTTTTTTTTTTTTTGAGACAGGGTCTCACTCTGTTATCCAGGCAAGAGTGCAGTGGTATGATCATAGCTCACTGCAGCCTCAAACTCCTGGGCTCAAGGGATCCTCCCACCTCAGCCTCCGGAGAATAGCTGGGACTACAGGTGTGAGCCACCACACGTGGATAATTTTCTCTTGTATTTTTTTGTAGAGACAGGCTCTCACTATGTTGCCCAGGCTAGTCTGGAACCCCTAGCCTCAAGCCATGCTCCCACCTTGGTCTCCCAAAGTGCTGAGATTACAGGGGTGAGCCACCATGCCTGGCTCCAAAAAATGTGTTTGGTATTTGATATTTGATGTTAACTGACATCAATGGTTTTTTTTAAGGTGATCTATAGGTATTTATCTTTTTCTACCTTCATTTTAATTCTAGTAACTAGAGCTCAGATTCCAGATATATGAGTATTTAAATTCTCATAATGCCTCTAAAGCCTGAGTTAACCTTAAGGCTATTAACTGGATGTTTAAGCATCTGTTTAAATATTGATTTAGTATGCTTATAGAATTGTATTTTATTATTTTTGATAATATAGGCTATATTTGTTTGCAAAGGTTGCTGTAACAAAGTACCACAGACTGAGCGGCTTAAACGAGAGAAATTTCTTTTCTCACACTTCTGGAGGCTGGAAGTTTGAGATCAAGATGCTAGTAGGGTTGGTTTTTTCAAGGCCTCTCTCCTTGGCTTCTAGGTGGCCGTCTTCTCCCGGTGACTTTACAGTCTGTCCATACATGTATGTCCGAATATCTTCTTCTTATAAGGAAACCACTTTTATGGGATCAGGGCCCCCTCTCATGACTTCATTTCACCTTAATTGGCTTTTTAAAGACCCTATCTCCAAATACAGTCATGTTCTGAGATACTGTGGGGTTAGTGCTTCAACATATGAATGTTGGTGGATACAATTCAGCCATTCAACAATTATACACAGGTTATAATTGTTTTATGTGTAACTTAAGCTGAATTTCTCTACGTTCTTGTGTTTACCTTAGGCTTGCTTGTTGCCAGTAACGGTTTCTTTTCTAGGAGTATATCGGCGCTTCCCACTGTAGTTGCCTATAACAATCGAGCTCAAGCAGAAATCAAATTACAGAACTGGAATAGTGCTTTTCAGGATTGTGAAAAGGTCTTGGAGTTAGAACCTGGAAACATAAAGGGTAAAAAATATTATAGAATTCTTTTACATTTACAGCAGGACCCATTAATAAAGACCATTCATAGATACTTGCAATGTTTACATTAAAAATATTTCAGATAAACTCAAATTTCTGTATGTGAATCACCAACTTCACAAAGTTGCCTTTAAGTTTAACTTGTAAGTTAAGTCCCTGATTATTTGTACGGAAGTAGCTAATAATCCCAGAGGATTTAATAAAATACATATATATTTTTAAGAAGTATCTCAGTAAACAAAAAACCAACAACAAAAATAAAAGAGAAGTATCTCGGCCAGGCACAGTGGCTCACACCTATAATCCCAGAATTTTGGGAGGCCGAGGTGAAATGATTGCTTGAGTCTAGGAGTTTGAGACCAGCCTGGGCAACACAGCAGAACCCTGTGTCTCAAAAAAAAAAAAAAAAAAAAAAATCTCAAGCTTGCATTTGAACATTCTCTCTATCAAAAAAAAAAAATAATAATAAGTATAACTTAATGTAGATTTTCTGTTATTTATAAATATAATAAAATTATAAGCCCACACTGGACCTCTAGAACCTTCTCCCAGCTTCTTTGTGGATATTTTCACCTAGGTGGCTGTATATAATTTTGTTTGTTTGTTTGTTTGTTTGTTTGAGACAGAGTCTCATTCTGTCACTGAGCCTGGAGTGCAGTGGCATGATCTTGGCTCACTGCAACCTCTGCCTCCTGGGTTCAAGTGGTTCTCCTGCCTCAACTTCCCAAGTAGCTGGGACTACAGGCATGCACCACCACGCCTGGCTAATTGTTGTATTTTTAGTAGAGAGATGGGGTTTCACCATGTTGGCCAGGCTGGTCTCGAACTCCTGACCTCAGGTGATCCACCTGCCTCGGCCTCCCAAAGTGCTGGGATTACAAGCGTGAGCTACCGCTCCTGGCCTGTTTTTGTTTTGTTTTGTTTTGTTTTGTTTTTGAGATAGGGCCTCACTGTGTCACCCAGCCTGCTGTGCACTGGTGCAATCTTGGCTTACTGCAACCTCCGCTTCCCAGTCTCAAGCAATCCTCCCACCTCAGCCTCCCAAGTAGCTGGGACTACAAGCATGTGCTACCACACCCGGCTAATTTTTTTTGTATTTCTTTAAAGATGGGGTTTCACTGTGTCGCTCAGGCTGGTCTCAAACTCCTGAGCTCAAGTGATCTGCCCACCTCGACCTCCCAAAGTGCTAGGATTACAGGCATGAGCCACTAAGCCTGGCTTGCTATAAATAATTTAATTTTCACTTTAAATTAATAATTTGAATAACTTAATTATAAATTAAATTTGTCCAAAAATGACTCTTTCTGCCAGAAACCTGCACTCTATTTTGATTCCCTGTCCCTGTGACTGACCACCTTGTCATGGTTCAGACCTGAAGTATGCAAATCAGACTCTATTCTCCTTTTCTGTTATCAAGAAGGAGTCATTCCAAGAGGGAGTGACATACATTATAATTGACACATTATATTTCTTTAAATTTTTATGGATTCAAAATAAATATAAACACTTTTTCACATGGAATGTATCCCTTTTTGCCTATAAACATGGTGGAGGTGGCAGAAGCCATGGGAGTGCTAAGGGGAAGCCTGGTGCATCACCTGCCACTGTCATTGTCATGGATTGCCCTCCATTTACCAATAAAGTCCTGTTGGGCCTGTGTTTTATGCAAGCTGGTCTCTGTCACAGAGTATGACTGGGCTCCCAGCTTTAGGCAGCAGCCCACTGAAGGTTTTGCCAATCCCATACCACTGCTCTGTCAGGCCCTGTGCCAAGCACTTTACATGTATTAACTCTGTTAATTTTAACAAGTCTCGGCCGAGTGCAGTGGCTCATGTCTGTAATCCCAGCACTTTGGGAGGCTGAGGTGTGCAGATCACCTGAGGTTAGGCATTCGAGACCAGCCTGGCCAACATGGCAAAACTCCATCTCTACTAAAAATTAAAAAAAAAAAAAAAAAAAAAAAAAAAAAAAAAGGAGGGGTGTAGTGGCTCATGCTTGTAATCGCAGCACTTTGGGAGGCTGAGGTGGGTGGATCACTTGAGGCCAGGAGTACAAGACCAGCCTGGCCAATGTGGCGAAACCCCATCTCTACTAAAAACACAAAAAATTAGCTGGGCATGGTGGTAGGCACCTGTAATCCCAGCAACTTGGAAGGCTGAGGCAGGAGAATCACTGGAACCCAGGAGGCAGAGGTTGCAGTGAGCCGAGATCATGCCACTGCACTCCAGCCTGGGCGACAGAATGAGAATACGTCTCAAAAAAACCTATAATACATTTTTTAAAAAATTAGCTAGATGTGGTGGTGGGCACTTGTAGTCCCAGCTTCTTGGGAGGCTGAGGCAGGAGAATTGCTTGAACCTGGGAGGCAGAGATTGTAGTGAACTAAGATCATGCCACTGCACTTCAGCCTAGGCAACAGAGCAAGACTCTGTTTCAAAAATAAAGAAAGAAAGAAAGAAAGAAAGAAGATGTTAGCATTAGGTAAAGCTGAGTTAAGGGACACAGGAACTCTCTGTACTATCTCTGCAACTTTTCTGTAAATCTCCAATTATTCCAATATAAAAAGTTTTAGAAAAGGACAATCATTATGTCATGAATATTTCTTCATGGAAATTCCCTTCAGGAATCTGCGTAGCAATAGCAATAGCTAAATTATATTTAAAGTGCAGTGCTACAACTTTAATTAAATTTAAAACAAAATGATTTATCATTTAGATTTTCATAGCTCATTCTAAGACTAAAATTCAAATTGGTCAAATTTATAATTATGTTTTAAAATAGCATATTAAAATATGCCAGATAAAATTTCACACCTTTTGGCCAGGTGGGTGGCTCATGCCTGTAATCCCAGCACTTTGGGAGGCTGGTGCAGGTGGATCATGAGGTCAGGAGATTGAGACCATCCTGGCTAACATGGTGAAACCCCGTCTCTACTAAAAATACCAAAAAAAATTAGCTGGATGTGGTGGCATGAGCCTGTAGTCCCAGCTACTTGGGAGGCTGAGGCAGGAGAATCGCTTGAACCCCGGAGGCGGAGGCAGTGAGCCGAGATTGTGCCACTGCACTCCAGCATGGGCAACAGAGCAAGACTCTGTCTCAAAAAAAAAAAAAAAAAAAAAAAAAAAAAAAAAAATTCCCACTTTTCAGAATTACCAAACTTGATTCTTTTTCAAAGTAATGACGTATTACACCAAGTTCTCCTTATATAATAGTTAAAGATGAGTCTAGAGAGGCATTCATTGTCAGTATTAAATAATAATCAAATTATACATTGAAACGTACCAAAAAAATCAAATACGAATTATCAAAGTGCTTAATTTCTGGACCTAACTGACTTAATCATCAGGATTCTCTCAGTTCCCTGTGCTAAGTAACTCCTTCTAATCATTTTAAGGATTGCTATACAGATGTCACTAATGAGCCATATTCTGAGCTAGATGCTGGTCAGTAACACACTATTTTTTGTTGTTGTTTTGTTTTGGAGACAGAGTCTTGCTCTGTCACCCAGGCTGGAGTGCAGTAGCACAATCTTGCCTCACTGCAACCTCCACCTCCCAGGCTCAAACAATTCTCCTGCCTCAGTTTCCCGAGTAGCTGGGATTACAGATGTGTGCCCCCACACCCAGCTAAAATTTTTTTGTATTTTTAGTAGAGATGGGATTTTGCCGTGTTGGCCAGGCTGGTCTTGAACTCCTGGCCTCAAGTGATCCGCCCACCTCAGGCTCCCACATTGTTGGGATTACAGGCGTGAGCCACTGTGCCTAGCCAATATACTAAATTTTGATAAGGGATTCTATGTTTTCAAAAAGTGGCAAAATAATACTCACCATAATTATAAGAAGGAAAGGATTATTATCAATGAAAATCATTCCGATATTGCAATACAGTGTGTTGCCTGTGAAGGGTTGAGGTATGAAATCTCTTAGTCCTTGGAAACACTGGCAGGGCCTGGGGCTGCCAGAGGGCCAGAGGGTTGTTATAGAGGGGACAGTTGCCTGATGCAGCCTCTCTTATGTACCTCAGTGTCATCTCCTATGTGTGTATCAACATGAAAATGGGTGTAGTTGAGCTTTGGGTAATTACATCATAAAGTATTCTGTGCTGCTCATATTCTTCCACTTGCAAAATATGTTGCAACCATAATGCCAAATATTAAAAAACACACCTTTTATTCTGGTAAATTTTCAGCTCTTCTGCGTCGTGCTACTACATATAAACATCAAAACAAGCTCCAGGAAGCTATAGAAGATTTGAGTAAAGTACTGGATGTTGAGCCTGATAATGAGTTGGCCAAGGTAAGTGCAGAAAGTGATTTCTCACCTAATTCTGTAGTTGGCTGTTTCTGTATTTATTTTAAAGTGGTATCAATCTTGCCAAACAAATTATGTTGAAGATTAGGTCACAGCTTTAAAAGGTAGGTATGTTCTAGACACTCCAAAACGTTAACATCTATTTGAAGTGGAAGAAAGCAGAATCTTAACTTTTTTTTCAAAACTATAAACCTTCCTCTGAAAGACAAATATCAATTTTTCTTTTTCATATATGCTGGGTGTGGTAGCTCACACCTATAATCCCAGAACTTCAGGAGGCTGAGGTGAGAGGATTGCTTGATCCCACAGGTTTAAGACTAGACTGGGCAACCTAGTGAGACCTCGTCTCTATATTTTAAATAAACAAACAGCATATGTAGCATGATTTCATTTGTGTAAAACTATACATCTCTGTGGGTATATATGCATAGAAACATCTAGAAAGATGATTATCAAAATGTTAATAGTAGTATCTGAGTAGCAAGATTTTAGGTGATTTTTTTCTTTATTTTTTATACTTGTTACACTGGTTTTTTTGTTTATTTGTTTTGTTTTTGTTTTTTTACAGTGGACATGTATGATTACAATCAGACAAAGGCCACCCCAAAAAAAGCCGTGTCTTAGTTGTATTCTTTTTTCAACATCTTTATGTTTTTACCT